CACCACATGTCTTATCAATGCCCATAAAAATTATTACTTGTAGAACAAGTTAATATGTCTTAATAAAGCTTGATAATGATGTTGAGGATAATAAGCTAAGGCTTCGTTTGTGATGGCTTTTTTACTGCTTCTTAAATCAACTTATTAGTACAAAAATTACTAGAAAACTACTTTAAGAAGCAATAAGAAAGTCATCCCAAATAAAGCCTAACTCATTAAAAGCATGGTGAAGAAATAGTATATCAAAGCTTTGAAATATGTGAGATAATTTGTTTATCTTATCTTTGATTATTGTAAGGATGGTAAATGTATACTCTTTCATATGTTTGTAACTTACTAGAATGAAAGATTAAAAACATGTTATATATGGACACTGATTACTATTATTTATTATTGTTACTGTGACTGACACTAAGAATATTGATGTTATTACTTATACAATTATGTTACTGATATTGAATACTAATATTGATAATATGACTATAACTGACATATTGATGTGAGTTGAATGGGTGATAAGATTTGAATGGAATCGATTGAGTGATAAAGATTGACTGACTAACTGATTGATTAGAGTTAATGATTGAAGAATGAAATGAAAATTACTAAGATATGATTTGTTGTAGACTGATTATTGATACAAATAACCAATATATATATATCCATTGATGCATATATTTTTTAATTTGATTTACAACATATTATTCTATCTTATCTTGCATTAATTTAGTTTATAGGATCTTAATTACTTACTTGGCTATTTGCTCATTACGTGATTTTACATAATTTTAGGTAAAGATAAGGATCCTATGATATGAGACTGTGGATAGCATGCATAATTCCTTTTGCTGATCAGAAGAAATTTGTGAAAGACAAATGCAATTTTTTCATTATAGATCTTAGGGGGCGATATATCCCAACTATCATCACTCGTCAATTGTTGCCCAATCAATACTGCAAACTATAGTCCCCTAAGCACCTTCATTTGACTTTAGCCTCTTGACCATCATCGCTTGATGTAGCCTCTAAACCATTATCGTTAGACAGTCTTTCAAACATCGATGCCCAACTACCGTCACCCAAGTACACCAGCACATGCTAACTTTCTTCCTTATTAACACCAACAATGTTGACCCATGCATATCATCACATATAAGACTAATGCTCTCCATCAACACAGACCATCGCGTATAAGGTTGTTGATGCACACCATTGCTTAAATGTTGATGCTCGTCGTCGACACAGAGGCCAACGTACGTTGACTTTGTCAGCTCTAGTTGCTCACAACATTAATGCACGTCGTCACCAATAGGACATCTGCACTTTGTCAACACCAACTTTGATTCTATACATCAACTTCATTTTCATTAAACATAAAACATCCGAACACATTGGAAATGAACTCCAGTGTATTAAGGCTCCTCTAACTTCTACCATAGTTCATGTCTACTACACTCTACCAACACGTTTCTTAAACGGAGAGAATCATCATTTATAGCATACAACGTGTAGGCTAATAGAATCATTTCAATTGAATCATGCTTGCATGTTCTTTCTGATTACGATCTTCTTTTACTTGTGCATGTATTATATCTTCATACAAATCTAAAGCATTAAATGATATTTCTTTACTATCTTAACTATTCTAACAATCAACATTTTGATTGATAAATTTTTTTGGTTTAACCATCATTTTCTTATTTTTCAATTTTAAATTTTGATGAAAAAAAAAACATAAAAAAGAAATTTAATATTTTTTTCTAAATAGATAAGAATTATATAATAATTAGATAAGGATGTATGCTAATTTTTATTGACAGCCAAAAATTATTCAAACAGAAGCTTTGGGTACAGTAGACGACAGCCTCTGACACGTAGCTTTCGGTCCAGTGGTGCTCACCGCTGATCCATACGATCCGCCCCACACGCAATTTATGACTGTCAGCCAGCTTCTTTCTATCTCTGCCTTTCATATATATATATATATATATATATATATTAGATGCTTAATAAGTAAATAATAATATATTTGAAATTTAGAATATATTATTTTTTATTAAATATTGGATTAGTCTATTTATGCGACAAGGTATATGGAGGCTGTGACCGCCTATGAAGCTAGCAACATGTGGTAGTGTTTGTGGAAGGTGGCAGTTAATGGTGATGACTTTTTTTTTTTTTTTTTTTAAATCATGAATAAAACTTTATTACTAAAGGGAAGATACCATCAGCAAAAAAGAAGAAGAAAGAAACAGCAATAAAAGAAGCAACCTCAAAGTGAAGAAGGCTTAGCGGAGAAAATCAGAGCAGAGAAAGGGCGAGCGCCCACCGGACTCAAGAATGAGGCCACGGGTATCCACCCCCAAGTCAAGCTAGGACCTTCCAAAGGAGTCAACACAACAGGAGCCAAAACAAGCCATAACACAAAACCCAATAAAAGTCACCCAGACCGCAATGAGGAATGACCACCAAGGTTGTTAGCAAGCAAGGGCCAAGGAGGTGGCGCACTGAAGCCTCATCATCATTGTCTGGAACAGCAGCAAAAAGATACAACCAACAATGCAACAAAATCACTATCGCTAAACTAGGCCGCAACCATCAGCAAAGGAACCCAACGAAGAAGAAGAAGAACCAATAGCCACACCAAATCCAAATGGAATAATCATTTCTTCTTTTATTTATGTTGTTTATGCTTACTTTTCTTTGTAAAAAAATCAACATCAATAATTTTAAGTATACTTAGATCAAAGTTATTCGTAAAGTCCACTGTTTTCTCAATTAAATTCCTCCACATCAATTGAGAAAATATCATCATTTAACCATTCACTATGCATAACCTCATAATCTCTCATATTACAAGTTATGTGAGCTATCAAAGTATCATTTGAAAGAATGGACATAGGAACATCGACAAGAGGCACACCAAAATTTTTCGCCATAGGATCATCACCCTTACATAAGGATGCACTAAAACGAGCTGGAGTATCCAAAGAATTGGCACCCTTACTACAAATAAAATGAAAAATCTTACCCAAAGGTGAAGCACAGGCATGATCCCTAGGGTCCAAAGGGACATAATCATCAGAAAATGCAATTTCACCATCACTAACATCAACATTCAAATCAGGAGATACGATAGAACTCGATATCAAATTTAGTAAGCAATAGTTAGGCTTACAAACCTCAACAACATCCTCATTAATTCCACAAGAAGGAGCCTCACAAGGTTCAACTACATTCTCATTATTTTCACATGAATGAGCTACCAGCAAAGCAACAGACAATGACATATCAATTCCATTAACAACTTGCTCAGGAGGATCAAGCAAAACATCCGTAGCTGGCACAACCAAATGCCCCTCCTCACAAGAGGACAAAAAACCATTAGTATCAATATCGGCATGATTAACATTCAAGGGTATTTTGTTACCATTATTGACTAGCTTAGTATCCATAGACTTATCACCCACATTAGTACGGACTTTAAACAAATTGGGATGTAAGATATTGCATTCAGATTTCAAATGCCCCAAAGATTTACAGTGAGAGCAATACGACAGAAAAATCTTCATAACCACCGACTAGATATAACCCAAACCATCTGGGCCAACCCAAACCTTATTGAGAAAATGTTTGGTAACATCTAATTCCACCATAGCATGTGCAACCGAGAGTCTAGAACTAATGGATGTTGCATGATCAATTTTAAGGGGGCAGTCAAACATGGAACCAGGGACATGAAGAATCCTAGGTGAGAAAATATGGGTTCTCAAATTAGGGAATGACACTCAAATAAAAATATATATAAAAAAAATTGGTGACTCAACATCAACATCAAATAAAGTCGACCACTTAAACATCTTCATAAAATAATTGTTAATAAAGTAAAAGTGGTGCACAAAGACATGACAATAATCCAAATCGTTCACAAGCGACGACGGAGGCCACGGGCAGGGCAGTAGATAAGGGAGCACCATGCGGGGAAGAAACCCTAGCAGAGCATATGTCACATGGGGAGATCTTATGGATAATATTTTTAATGGTGATGACTTATTATGGTGGCAAGTGACGGTGATTAGAGATAGTTATCATTTTAATATTTAAAACACCTACATTGATTACAACATTTTTTAAAACAACTAAAATTATTTTTAAAAAGGCCGAGGGCAAGCGAAGAAGTTCGATAACAAATACGTAAGTTACCAAAAAATCTCATCACATAAAGATTAGCACTGTGTGAAGAAAAAAGAGTAGCTCATATGCAACTCTCCTTAGTTTATTGATTGAGAGTTTAGCTCCCAATAAAAGAGGTCATGAGTTTGGATTAATTAATCTGTGCGAACATCGAATACCAAACACTGTCCGGAGACTAATCAGAATGCGCCACATCACACCTTCGTTGTGTACCGCGGCTCATTACCACCACTCGATACCATTGATGTAGCTGTACTTGATTCACCTCCGAACATAAATCTTCATCCGGCCTCCGCATAGAATAAAAAAAGGAAGGAGTTATTCATTACAACCCCTTCTAACAAGAAGTTAATGAAAAAGATGAAATAGTTGATATTTTTCATATTATTTAATATGAATAAATAAATAAAAACTATATACTAATTATGCAAATAAAATAATTTTAAATTTTATGTACATAATATCATGACCGTATAATTTAAATAACAATCTATTGTTACCATACATTTCATCAAAGCAAGATATCATCAATCACCATATGCTTAATTTCCAGATTTTTGAAACTCCATACATTTTAAAATCACAATTTTCTCATGCAACTAAAATCATCAAATAAATGACTAAATGATTTTAAAAAATCCTTTAAAGCTTTGTTTGGGATAGCTTCTTAAGGCAACTTTCTACCATAAAAATTAAATTTTTGTAATAGAAAGCTGCTTTAAGCAAGAAAAAAAGTTATCCCAAACAAAGCCTAAGTCTCACATATCTGAACCCACTAGTTTTAATAATTTTGAAAAGAACTGACATTTAACATCCATAACATCACACATCACTATATTTTTGAAATTTAACTACACAATATCACATATACATTCTATAAATAACCAGCTAACAAAGACTAGAACAAACTATTACTTCATAAATTTATCTGCAAGCCATAACAGTATTTTATCAATGAGTTCAAATTTGAAGAAATGATGAAATCCTTGATTTATAGGATAAAACTATAGCTTCATAGTGATTAATGTAGAGTAATATGTAGTACAAACCAACCAAAAGATCCAAGAAAACTTCAGGACCCTGCAGGCTTCCTTCCACAGTTACGCAGAGAGATCATTTCATGTACCTCTGAAGAAATTTGCGGTGGAAGTCATTTCTGATGGTGTCGTTGATGAAACGCTTTGGCGCCTTGGTTTCTCCACGAGCCTGGTTTTTGAAGACAACATCATCGTCCCACCTGATGGGTTTGGAATGGAAGGAATTATTAGGTGGTGAGGAGGATTCAATGCAGCAAAAGAAGAATGTAATATAATATGACAGGCTTCAGAAGAGCAGATGTGGGTGTAAAGAACCTTCTTTTGACATTGAATGAAGATGAATTGTTGAGATTGATCAGCGGGTTGCCTCGCATAAGCTCGGCTTCCTTGGCCTTCAAATCCTCTTCCTGCTTCTGTCTCTCCTGAAATATTAGAGTTGGTTCTTTGTGTGAATGATTGTGCTGAAGTAACTAATAACACTGATGGCGGAAAATCAGAAATAAACTGCTAAAGGATGTCAAATAGTCAAATCCAGCATACTTTCATGGCAAATATTTAGGCTTCGTTTGGAACAACTTTTTTACTGTTTCTTAAAACAGGTTTCTAGTACAAAAGTTGAGATTTATGTACTTTAAAGCTGCGTTAAGTAGGAAAAAAGTTGCCATAAACAAAATCTTAATGACTACATTTTTCAGTAAAATATAATTAATTCGCTTATTCTATTTTCTTTATAACATACACAGTTACACACATCTTGACACGCGACCAAAAAAAGGATCGATTGAAATGCGTGACTAATTATTGGCTTTTACAAAGTTTTTTTGAGTAATCCACATAGTTCCAACTCTTTATTATGCATGGATAGACACGGGCATAATAAAAAAAAAATTGCAAGATATTAGTAGCATTGAGGCAAATGATCTCAAATTTTTATAAAGTTCTTCAACTGATGATCTCTGATTATGGCATACTAGCATACACACCAAGAAAATTATAGAAATGATATTGTTATTAGACCGCCTAAGATTGACTATGTGATGGATCATTTATGTAATACATCTCAAGTAGAAAAACTGATGCAGGACTACTTAGGCGACATGCTTATGGCTTCATTTTAGGCATTGCACAACTCTTTGATTAGAATAATTTTGGCTTAAAATTATTAGCAATTCTTACGTCAATTAAAACAAATAAAGAGGTGATTTGTGTAGGCTAATTAACATGCTCCAAGCTTTGAAATTTTCAAGATAAGTAAGACAAGTAAACAATGCAAAATAGTAGCCTTCAATTTAATCCCTAGTCTAACAACGAGAGTTAGGATGCAAAGAAAGTACACTCAAAGGCCTATAAAATACTAAGCTTAGCAAGAGCATTCGGAGCAGGCTTTCGTGAATACAATCTAACCAAACGAGAACTTAGATTTAGAAGACTTTGAATGCAAGTGAAAGAAGGACAAACCTTTGCTCAAGGAGACATGGTGATCCTTCACGACAGCAACTAATCATGACGAATATCCATGGTCCAAGAACGATGATGTTCTCTTCATAGTATGCTGGTAGAGGTCATCCAAGTCCTTCCAAAATCTAAAAAAAAAAATTCAGAGTTTTCTGGCCAAAAATCTGAGAGAAAATCTCAGGTTTCCCTAATGAGGAAGTAGAAACGGTGGGAAGAAAACGTATGCAGAGAAGCCTAGAGGAGGCTTAATGAAAAGGGAGAGATTTTAGGCGGCAGAGAGGAAACGGGTAAGGGGTTGGGCGGCGGCAATGAATAGGTGCCAGGGAACTTCTTTCCAAAATAAAAGAATTGAAATAGGCAAGAAGTAAGGAGGTTAGAGAAAATTCGGTCAAATAGAAAGAAGCAGTTTGAATTACTTCCAATTAGGTTTCTGTGGTGATTAAGAAATAAATTCAAATTTACCCACAGAGAGGGCTGACGGCATGCTTGGTCAAGGAGTAATTTACTGAGGGCAATTAAAGGCTTCTTAATATGGTTTAAGGATTTAGGAAAGTAAATAATTCTACCCAATTTAAATTTCAAATTCAAATGAGTTTAGATTATGAACTTTCCTAACATAGATTTAGTATTTTAGGTAAGATTTTAAATTTCAAATAGATAATTTTGAATTCAAAATCTGTCCACAAAATACTCAATCCCAAATAGGCAATGGAGGTGAAAGGAGAAGAGGGAATGGGGGCGGTCGGCGGTGGGAAGGTTGGAGCCGGCGGGATGGGGGGTTCGGGTTGGGTGCTCGGTCGAGAGGATAGGGAGAAAAGGATGGGATTTCAACAAGGAGGAAATCTGGTGGCTAAGTGGTTGTTAAAGACAGACAAAGAAAGAAGAAACAAAAGGGAGAAAAGAAAACGAGTTAAACAAAGAAGCCACGAACCCGACTTATCTAGGTTGGTGGGTATTGCGCGAATCTTCTTCCTCTCCTAGGAAGCTCTCTCCACTAGAACTCACAAGTTCTCACAATGCTCCAAGCAAGAAAACAAAATTCTCAAAATTCATTCATTCGTCCATTCACCTCAAAACAAAGGAAATGAGGCTATAAATAGCCAGGTACAAAGACTCAAGAAAATAAAAGACCAACTTGCCTTTTGGGCTTACATGCGACCACTCCCATGAAAGGGGTACAAAGGGAAATAATAGGGACACCTAAGCAAATAAGAAAATGCATATATAAAATAAAATACAATCATGACTCAGAAATACAAGGACTCGATCGTGGCCGTAGATCGGCGGCCACGTCACTGATAAACCTTCCACGCTGATCTGATGTCCCCATCAAAAACAAACTAAAAAACTCTGTTCAAAGAAAAAATTGTTTATATTCATAGGTCCCTAGATTAGAAGGTAAGAGATGTGAATTTGTCATTTTGGTGAGTTTACCATATATATTTGGGCGTAAATAGTAAGAGTGGTTCACTAAATGACTTGCTATCGGTTTGCTAAAAAAGTAATTTAATTTCATCCATTACAAGTGATAATTGATGAGAATTTCATAATTATCTATTTGAAAAGAATTGTAATGAACAGTGAATTAGACAGTTGCTTGGTTCCTATGACCCTCTTAGGAGGACAAGTAATCAAAAGGAAGAATACAATCTTGATGGGAATTGTTAAAATCTATGATTTATGAGTATATTATTCTAAAGTATTTCCACCATACAATAATAGTTTGAATATAAAATTATCTTCGAGAAGATGTGTTATGATCAATGTAAGAATATGAACCAAATATTTCACATTTTCATTTTCCAATGTAAGCGCTTTATGTTGAATGATTAAAAGACCAATCTTTAAAATTAGATCATAAGCCAAATGACGAAATATTTCTTGAATAATAGACTATAGCAGAGTTTTTAAACTTTCGAATAAGAGAGCAATTAATTGAAAAGAATCATTTATGTTTTTTCTTTTCTTTGGAAAAGCCAGACCATCTTTTTAAGTAGTAAGAGGCAATACCACCGGGACCACACTCCAAATATTAGAATTTACTTCTGTTTCATTTAATGAATATATTAGAAGTTATTGGCAGGATGATATAAATAATTAAATAGTGCTCAAAAGATGAACTTGGAAGACTAAAAATATGATTTTAGCATTTCCCAATTACAAAAGGAATGAGTACACAGCATCTGAAGGATTTAATCATAGAAGTATTAAGGATACGAGTAATTTGAGAAATGAGAAATATTAATATTTGAAATAGAGCCCAAAGATATGGATGAAGCTTTAAAGGATAACTTTTGAATCACTATCATATAAGAAAAGTTAAATCAATTTATTAGTAAAAATTATAATTATCCAAAGTAGAGAGAGAGAGAGATTTGATGTGAGAGTTTTTCCATAGATGTGAGTTTTGTAAAAAATAGAGTAGATGCAACCCTCTTTATTAAGTAGATTGATTAGAATATAATAATTATATGAACTTATATCAATAATATATTGCAATTAATGAATTTGGTTAAAAGTTCGAAAACATATGGGGAAAGAATTTGAAATGAGCATTAGATGAACTCAACTTCTTTCTTAAGCTTCTATGAAGCAAAAGGATGGCAGACTCATTTGTCAAAGCATTTATAAAAATGAACTTATTACAAGATTTGATATAACGAAATTCAAATCAATAAGAACCCTCATGAGTCCCTCAATTAAAATAGAAAATGATAGGAAAGGTAGATATGTAGACTCCCAAGTTTTATAAAGGGGAAATTGGTTAAGTGTTACACCTAATTACAACCTGACTTAATATCATGTTTGTTATTTTGTGTACTCAAGTTTAGGCAAATCTTAAGGAGTTTCATTTGGTTGCAGTGAACCATATAGTCAGATATTTGATAGGAGCACCTAGATTATATCTTCGGTATCCTATGAATGCATTATCTTTGATAATATCCCATTCAATTATTTTTTACAAAAAAAATCCTTCAATTTGGATAATTAAACAATTGAGATAGTTAAATAAATAAACTTTAAAGAGACAACCAAATTATATGAAACAAGAAATAGTTGAAAATATTATAAACCAGCAACCAATTCGCAGTTGTATCCAAAACACAGATCCTACAGCATGAAAAAACCATGTCTAGAAAAACTGCTGCAAATAAGCACAATTTAGTGGGAGCGTTTTAACTATTTTGCCAACAGATCAACAACATTAAATAGAAGGCAATTTTGAGAAACAGATAAGAGCTGAGAGCATACCTTGCGAAGATTCTCCTCAGCTCGCTCCTTTTTAATCAGCTCAAGCTCTGCCATTAAAGCTTCCGTGTCATCCTCATCATCATCATCATCACTAGCAAAAAGAACCAAACTTCAATCCAAGGAAATAGCAAAAGAGTGAAAAATAAATAAATAAAACCAAATAAAAGAACATTTAGTGGATTCTTAGAAAAAAATAGAATTTATAACTTTGCATGCCATTGTTATTTACGTTGGAAATAACATAAAACGATAAGACAAAGAAAGAATTAGACTGAAAGGAGTGTAAGCAACCTAATACATTCAATAGAAAGAGAATGAAAACCTTGATACTCATTAGATTAAAGCTTATTTATACTCATTTACTGAGATAACGGGTCAATCTTGAATATGAATAATGAAGTTCAACCATAGATAAAAAGAAAAAAGCTTGAACATTAACTTTCTCTTAAGGCTCATTTATTCTTGTTCATGAACTCAGATAATAACTGAATAAGCTTGAATATTGCCTGGTTGTTTATTTGCCTTAGCTAACTTTGTTTTTTTATATAGCAAGTAGCTTAACTAAATGCTCATTTATTCTTGTACAGAAGCTTTATTTAATAACTTTACGTCATCGAAACAAAAGAAACCTTAATTGAAGTACATCATTATGGTATAATATGATAGGAGCATATATTGACCACGTGATTAGATAGTATGATTTAATTATATTTTATTTCTTATTAATAATTGAATTTCAAAAAAGATTCAAATTACATACTAAGAGAATTATATTGATTTCTTTGTGCAACAATGAGTAGGTTTAGTCAAGACTTGAGTAATGCACAATTTTGGCCCCACCTCAGTAAAAATAAATTAAAGAAGATTGGAAAGGATCTTAAGACCCTATCATTTTCAATTCTGCTCAAAATGGATAAGAAAATAAATAGATAAAGAAGATTGTAATCACTCAGCTCCGCTAGGCACTTCTACAGGTCTAAGCATTGAGAAGTCTAATGGTACTGAAAATGTATCCCTGATTTTTTATGGGACACGTAAGCTTATCTCAGTTGATATTCACTGTAAACAGTTTGCAGGATGACATGCATCATACAAGGACTACTCGCGGTAAAATGGTTGTCGCTTGATAAGTGACTGCTTCTGAGGACTAAGCACGGAAAAAAGATTGTATCTTGATATGCGCCATACTTGGCCCAGGCACGGGATAAAGGTTTATAATAACTTTGTCAAATCGTAAGTGCTTTAAGCAATAAATCATATGCAAAGCCAACATTCAACCCACATTGTGGCTCCATGCAAGCACAAAATACAGAAAGTGCACCATAGACACATACATAAATAGAGAAAGAGTAATAAACTAAATGGAAAAAATAAATAACCCAAATTACAGATTTACCGAACTAGACTAAGGCTTCGTTTGTACTAAAACTGTGTTTTAAGAAGCAATTAAAAAGCCGCCCCAAACGAAGCCTAAGTGAAGAGAGACAAGGTATCCAAGCATGTGTGGGTGTGAAAAGACAGAAAAATTGGGTTATTCTTACTCCTGCAAATCTGTAGAACAAAACTTGATGTGATTCGTTTAAGCCATATAAATTTCTTTAAGTCTACAAATTTGGTTCATGCTACTCTTACTCTGAAATCAATGAGGAAAATATAAAGCTTCATCTTGTAAATTCTCATGCAAAAATGCATTTTATATCTATTTGATAGAGTGGCTAATCTAAATTAGTAGCAAGAGAGATAATTATCCTAATAGTGTTCATTTTAACAGCTGAACAAAGATTTCTTCATAATCAATTCCATTGATTTGAGTGAAACTTTTTGCAATTAGCCTTACTTTGTATCATTCAACACTTCCATCAGCTTTGTATTTCACATTGAAGATCTATATGCATCCAACAGGTTTCTTTACTTTAAGAGATTTGAAAGATTCCACATACAATTTCTTTTAAGAGCCTAGTTTTCTTCATGAACACCATTTTTTTTTTCATTCAAGTACTTTTAATGATCCTTGAATGTTGTTTTGAATTTTTATGCCTGAAAGACTAGTAGTAAAGACATATAACTTTGAAGATAGTTTGCATAAATATGAATAATCAGATGATGAAAGCAATTTATGCTTTTCATCAGAGCAACAATAGACGAGGTTAGATAATCATTGGAATTACCTTATCCTCATGAATTGATGTCAGGACTTAGGTTATGTATTGGATTTGGGTCCAGAGAAATGATTTATTTTACATTGTTGGTTTAATTATCACGTCATTTGAAATAGAGCAACCCCTTGTAGTTGTACTTAGCTCATTGTATGTTATGTTCAAAATGCTGACAGTCATATGGGTAAAGGTATAGGATTTGATACCAATAAGGTGGGATTGATATTCTCATAAAATTCACATTCATATAGAGAGCTGGCATTCTTCCCCTGAATTTGAGTTTTGGGGAAGAATGACTGATTTTTTGAGAATGTTACGTCTAAAGTGTATGTATTTTTTTTTTTTCTTTGAACTGGGATAATAACATTTCTATCCTTCTTAGTGAGAAAATTAGCTGTAAAATTTTTTTTGTCTAATTTACTTCATTGACGAGAAGAAAATGTACACAAAGGAAGAGCAATATGGCACTTTGATAATAATGGTGAAAAAAAATTAATTCTGGGGTAGGAATGGGCGAGGGTTTGGGAAAGAGTTTTAAATTTTAGGATTCTTGATGACATAATATCAATGAGAAAAGCAATTGAGAGAATAACATCCCCCAATATTTTTTTTGAAAAATTGCTAGTGATCTCATAATTGATGGAGCAGCCTCCTGAAGTATGTATAAAATGAGAACATCTTTCCAATTATCTGGAGGACTTGAACATGGATTTAAAATTGAATCTTTAAGGAGTTCGAATTTCTAAATAATTGAATTAGTTTTAGAATTATCTTTTACTAGAAAAACTTAAGGGGTTTTAGCGAGCCATCAACAAAAGATATAATCACCTAGCACCCCAAATATCGTTCACCTAAGATAAGGCCGATATGTCACTTGGATATTGACAAAAGGTTGTGAGGCTTAAGGATAATTAGGATAGGGAGGTTGAGCATGTTTAGATAACTGATAAGTTTCACACTAAAATATTCAAGATTTGTGTCGATGAAAAGAAAGAACATTTTTTTAAGAACATGAAATTTAGATGATTACAACGAAAGTGACACAATATCATTGTGATTTGATTAAAGGAAGATAAATACTAAGCATTTTTCTCTTGCCTTTAAGACTATCCTTTATAATTTAGATGGTAGAGACCATTATTTTTCTCTTGCCTTTCAGGATTTCATTTACAATTTAGAATTTAGAAACAATGATTTTCCTTCATCTTGCCAATTAACCTTCCTAACTCCCTATCCTAGAATTAATAATGAGTAGAAAGAAAAATAGTGATATAATTACTATCTTTTATAATTTTGTTGAATAATAAATTGCAGTAAAAGCTTAGGAATTAAGAGAATTGAGCTAAAGGCCATAAGTGATATTAATAGTCTCAATGCCAGTTACTTGCAATGTTGGCACATTGATAATTATCACTATAAAGTCCTTTAAACATTGATGAAGAGTTTGAAACAATGAAGCATACCATGTCAGATGATAAGAGACTTCATAATCCACAATCCAAAATTAGAGATTTTTGTTTTGAACATTGTAGGCATTCAAAATAATACATTTTTGGGCAATCACACTAATGACGATTATCCAGAAGGTTTTAATTTGAACTAGATGATCAGTGACTTGGAGAAGATTTCTTAGATATCAATGTTCCTTGGTAGGAGGTGGCACCAATATAATATTCTTTATACAGCCATCTCATATTTAACAATCATCATGGTTTGAATAAAATAATCCTTAGAATAAGAATGATGAAGACATAGAATTCTGAAAGAATGTAGAAGATAGAGAAGACAAGTGTGGAGGACAGAGAATAGAGGAAGTTAAAAAAAAAAACTTGCTTGAGTACTACATTGAAAACTTATGATAGAACCATAGAAGAAGACAAAAACTTATTTTTTTATATTGACAAAATAGACGGGCACACAATTTATTGGAGATACAAGCCACCTAGAATAGACAAAATGCTAGTAAAATAAATAGGGCATGATAAAAAGGGAAAGGCAAGAAAAATATAGCTTTTCAACTGATAAAAAAAACTAGAAATAAATGCATCCTTGAAGGACTGCGTATGGAAAGCAGAACCACCTGGACTTTTGACCTAGGATGATAATCAAGAGAAAGAGTTGTTCTGATCATGTAGATTGCTTAATTAGGTGGAGGAGTTGTTGTTAATTGGTGTACGAGAATTCAGCCATAGACGGGCTACTTGTCAATAGTTGGCCGTAGGAGTAGAACTTCACAGTTAATCCAAAGTGCTATCTAAATATCATGTTTATTTTCCTTTCCATCCAAATCAATAAGACCTCTTAGTTTCATGCACCTTTCTATTAAAGAAACTCCTAGATATATTCTTGCAAGTCAAATCACCTGAGGGTGAACAATATCTCCACCAAAAAGCCCCTTCGAACATTCATATATTTATATCTGTAAATTAAAGGGTGTAGTACAGACCTCCCCTGATTCTAGAACAGAAACCAGCCCATAAAGCAACTTCTAATAATAGAAGTATTAAAAACCAACAACTTGAAGCTTCAGTCCTTTTCCTGGCCTCACAAAGGTTCCAAGGTAATGGGTGAACAGGTAACTTGGCAATAATATCAAAACAAAAACAAAGGCTTTCTTTTTACATAGATACTTCAAAATGAAAGAAATGCATACACAATCAAGGATGAAATAAGACACTTGAAAGTAAATTTCAAAGGTCCAAATCTATAAAGGAGCCAGAACAAAATCGTTAGCATGAAGAGGACTTTTTTTAACTACAATCAGTTAAGGCCTTCTCCAACTGAACTCCAAACGCATGAATAGCCTCGCTCGCGAGCTCCAACCGAATGGCAAAACTTACGGTATTTGGTTGTAGGTGAACAGTGCGACTGCGTTATTTTTCTATCTCTACCGGATTTGCCGAAGAAACGTGCGAAAGAGGAGAAAGACGGTTATCTTCTGCAAAGGGCACAAAATAAAGTTCGATTGCAGATGAATCACACCATTTTTTTAGTTTCACTGCATTTTGGAGTGAAAAATGTGATTTTCGGTTGGAGATGCCCTAACTAGGTTCAAATTGGCAACATAACATATGCAAAAGCAGAAAGCAATCTTCTTAATTAAACTCCAGGCAACCATTAATAGATTCAAATAATAGTATAGGTTTAAATAGGAAAGTTTCTTGAACATTGGACAAGGATGCTCACCTCTCATCGTCACTTTTAACTTCAACGTCAGAATCATCAGCATCTATACTCCGGGGAACAATACGGTCCTCCACATCTCTTTTTCCTCCTGAATTCAAGTATGTGTGATGACCTCAAATAAAACAATTAGATCATATTGCTCAAAATAAGATAACTTTTTTTAATTAAAGATAGCAGTCCTTGTTTAAGCAGTTCCGACCTTCAAGAAGAAGCTGCCCTGTCCCTGATCCTTTCCTCCTATCCCTATCCTCTGAAATCACAATAGAAAAATTATGCATTAAGTAGGTGACGAGAGACCCAAGCAATATAAAAGAACAGCAAAATACCGCAATCTAATGACAGCGTAAAAAAATAAATTTTTAAGCTTGCAGAGTAAATTGAGAAATGCACAAAACAGAATTTCCAAAAACCTCGCATACCATTATAAGATTTGTCTTTGGAGGAAAAATGCCTCCTTTCTCGTTCCTCCAACTCTTGTCGCAGGTTCCTCCTCTGCACCTCATCCTGGGTATCCTGTCCTTCTTTTCTGCAACAACGAAATCACCGATCATCATCAGAAATACAGGACAAAACACTTCCCATCGTAAAAGAAACAATATGCATCAGATCTATATTCAAGATAAATCTAAGATTAGGGTTCGCTGGATAAAGAAAATAAACCTCGGTTTCAGCGCTGTATGAGCAGCGAGATCCCTGGAGGAGTATTTTTGCGATGGGCCAAAAATTCGCGTTCCCCCTTGTTCATTTCCCCCCTTCGCCGGAGCCCACGTCGGTGTTTTCCGCTCGAGGTCTGCTCTAGCCGCAGGAGATCGCTGAGACGCGAAATTTCAGCCGAAACGAGGATTTCGTTCGATCGTAGCCGTTGGGATGACTTCTTGATTTAGAAGATAATATAAAGTCAAACGGCCTTTAATTAGGATCAAATTGGGCTGAATCAGGACAGGTTTGGCTAAAATCGGGTTAAGCTTGAGTCCAAATTTGGCTCGATTCAAGTCGAATTTGGTTCGAGCCGGTGCGACGAAATTAATCATACAAAAATGAATTTAAAATAACGATCAATTTAAATCAAATCAGGTACGACGCGATGAAAACTAACTATTCGAGTCTAATCGAACATGTTCGAGTCCGATCCGGCTTGAATCGGGTCGGTTCGAGCTCGAATTGGGCTCGACGGGGTTCGATTAAATCGATCAAAAGGGCTCGAGCACATTCGAGCCAAAATCGAGGTCAACAAACGGACCCCCAACATATACGGAGAACAATGGGTGAACCATATATGTTGGCGTTGACCTTCCTAACTCTAGGAAGATACAACTTTAAGGTCGACCAAAGAAAGCTGTCCTTAAGAAAATACAGTCAACTAAATGAGAACAAAATCAATAAAGAGAGAGAACAAGTCAATCATCCGTCCAACCAAAGCGGGAGGATAGGAGAAGGAAATCTCACACTCACACGAGCAAAGTCGAAGTGAGATTGCGTACGATTTCCTTGCATCAAGAATTATCATTTTATTGGCATGGCGACTCATCCGAGTCAAATAATAGAGGAAATTATTTGGAGCTATTTGATTTCCTTGATAACCATAATGAACAAATATAAATAGTTACCTTTACACATGCAAGCTCCAATTTAAAGTTAACTTCACCAAATGTCCAGAAAGAAATTTGTTGTGTCATTGTTGCTGAAACTTTAGTTCATATTAATATATTATAAAAGATATTGGTGACTCGTACTTCTTAATTATAGTTGATGAATTATGAGATGTTTTTTCGAAAGAATAGTTAGTCATTGCGGTGAAATATGTTAAAAAATTGGGGCAAGTTATTGAAAGGTTTATAAGCATTAAACATGTTGCATCAACTCATGCAATATAATAGCACTGAAGGCTTCCATTGAAAGTATACTTGCAAAACACTTGTTGAGCATATATAGGATTTGTGGTCAAAGATATGATGAGGGCATCTAATATGTGAGGGGAGTTCCATGGTTTGAAAGTACGAATACTTAATGAAAACCCTCAAGCATTATATGTTCATTATTTTGCTCAACAGCTCCAACAAGGGGTGTAAGTAAGTTTAGCCAACTCTAGCTCGACTTGTTTATAGGCTCGCAAGCCGAGCTTATCGAGCTCACGAGTCGAGCTTATTTAGTAAACCAGGTCGAGTTCGAGCTTGAGCCTGGCTCGGCTCATGAGCTTATGAGTCGGATCGAATATTATTTATTTATTTATTAAATTTGAATATTAAAGAAGATCTAAGCATTATATGTATACATTTACATACATTCATATATACATACATACATATAATATTAAATATTAAATCATTTAATATTAAATAAGCTTGCTTTGGGCTTGCAAACCTATTAAATAAGCTCGCTTTTAATATTAATATTAGAGCTTTTATTACTGTGAAAAAAATTGCAACTTTACCATTTAATATTTTCCTTATTGCAGAAATAACAGGTCCAGCTGGGCGGGAAAACCAAAACCTTCTGCCTCCTCAAAATTGGGCGAGAAAATCAAAAGTGAACGAGAAATTTGGGCTGGAAAATCAAAACCAGGTGGGAAAAACTGGGCGAGCGGCTCGAACTCGTTTAGAATGGAACTGAGTCGAGCTCGATTGTGCCAAAACTCGACTCGTTTACACCCCTAGCTCCAACTGTGCTTGGTGGTTGAAAGGTTGTAGCAAAAAATCATTGAAATGTGAAGCATCTATTTACACCCCTACCTCCTCTAAAATGTTTGAGTCTTGTAGCTATGGGATAAGTTGAGGCTTAGGTTTTATTTGTGACAGCTTTCTTGTTACTTTCTAAAGCAGCTTTCTAATAGAAAATTTTATAGTTCAAGAAATCATTGTACAAAAAAGCTTCTTTAGAAAGCAATAAGGAAACTATCCCTAACGAGTTCTTCGTAAAAGAATGATTGTTTTTATTGTTTTGAAATTTTGAGCAAATTTAGGCTTCGTTCGTGATAGCTTTTTTGTTGTTTTTTAAAACAACTTTCTAGTATAATTTTTTCTTGAATTACAAAACTTTCTACTAGAAAGCCGTTTTAGGAAGCAATACGAAATATGTCCAAACGAAACCTTAATCACAAACATAAAGTATAAGTGGGTTGCATCGAAGAAAGATTGTCAGTATAAATGTAAGAAATAGAATCCCTTGCATGTCAATCATGTTTGACTAATCACCTTGGTTAATGTGCCAAAACAAGCAATTAGAACTGCATATTATAACTCCATCAGTAGTCTGTTCATTACATATTGTATAACTTGAGAACATAAAGCCAATATTTCATTCATAAGCGATGGAGATCTATCTCATGAGGCATTTCGTCCAGTATTACACTAAATCTTACTTATGAGGCATATTTTCTATATCTTCCAGATGATAATACAGAATTCAGAACCCATAATGTTAATCACAATCTATACTAAGCCAAGTTCTCACTGCAGCACTTCAGAGTCTGTAACTAAATGGTAATGAGCAGTCCTTCACTTCCACATCCTCTATGGGAAGCCTATCCTCTCTGAATGGGCAATCAGTTGCTTCCATCCCCTCATCCTTCAATGCGACGCAAGGCGCCGGCGTCACACCGCTCGATACACCCTCCACATTCTCGCAAACCCATGCGGTTTTCTTAGCCTTCCTCACTTCAACTGACACATTGGATATACAGATCCCCTTGAATGGTGCCTTCTCTATGCCTTCCAGTCTTCCTGCAGTAGTTACATTTTCAGCTACAACATGGCTATAGTTTATGCCTTCAATATCTGGAATTGCTTCAGGATTATATTTTCCATCTGGATGAGAATTGTAGTTGCCAGTCATCCAGAAGACCCACTTCATTGTATGGAGAGTCATGCGTCGAACGAATATATCCCTGACGAAGCCCCCACGACCGATGGCGGTTTTGATTCGTACGCCAGATTCGGTGTCAATAGCAGTTATGTCCTCGGCACGAACATCCTGGATGCCACCGGACATCTCGCTCCCTAGTGCAATTGTTGCACTGGTTGGTGAAATGCAGGTGAGACGACGGATAATAATGTGCTCGCTAGGCATTCCGACGGCGATGCCATACTCATCCCAGCCACTCTTTATGGCGACGCAATCGTCTCCCGACACGACGTAGGAATCCTCGATTCGAACATGAGAACATGAATCTGTAGCAGTGAAGATATTTAAACAGCAAAAATGGCGGGAACAAGGTTTATTGGGTAAAACAAAAGAGATACCTGGATTGATGCCATCAGTATTTGGAGAATGAACTGGAGCAGAGATTGTAATGCCTTTCACAACAATGTTGCTGCAATTGTTCAGATAGAAATCACAGATAATGAAATAAGAGGACAAATCTTATAGATTGTGAAGATATTCTCTTATTCAAAGAAAACAATCAAACCTGCTATAAACTGGATGGATGTTCCAGGATGGAGAATTCAGGAACAGAAGATTTGATATGAAGATCTGATCTGAGTACTGAAGTTCAACAAGGTAGCCCCTGGTGTACTTGAGCTGCTTATGATGGAACTTTGCCCACCAGAAGTCTCCCTGACCATCGACAGTTCCATTGTCACCTGAAAAATGTAATGCTTGCTATGATAAACGAAGAGATAAGATTGACACTTTTGTGTGATTGGGAACCCCATATAATGTCTAATACTGGAAAAAGAAATTTAGATCTCTGTATATCCTATATGTTGAACTTCAGACTTATACTCCTTTTCCTAAAGTTTCCTAAGAGTTTAGGTACTATGCTCAGCACTAAGTTTAGAAAAAAAGGGTAAATTTTGATACCAAAATGTCAACAGTTAGTAGATTACCAGTGATAATCACATCAGTGAGATTATATCCCATTATGAGGCTGCTATATCTTCCACCAGGGGCATCCCTTCCACGGCCATATGAGGGCAATGGTTCGATGATCGGCCATTCATTTATATCCTGCACAAATAATTGATGTTCGCATTTAGTTTTTGTTTGGGACGGCTTTCTTACTACTTCCGAAAGCAACTTTCTAGTTAAAAAATTAAAATTTTTGTACAAAAAAATTGCTTTAAGAAGCAGTAAGAAAATCGTCCCAAACGAAGACTTAATGGTTCATAATTTTTTGTCATAAGATCAATATCCTACTACCAATAATAGTTGTAGTGAAGGAAGAAATGAATATGGTGAAATAGTAAACAAAGAATAAGTAAAAATTATGAGCAACAAGCATTCAAGATGATGGGGCTAGTAACTATATAAGTAGGTAAAGTGACCAAAGAATATTGATTCTCAATGAATATGTTCCAATGGAAGCTTTTGTAATACGTTAAAACCCCTAATCATTCTCCATAAAGAGAATTTTTTTATCTTTTTATAATAATTAAGTATCATGAACCGAGAGCTTCCACAACTATATGAAGCCATCTTGGAAATCAACCTTAATCAATCATGGTAGAAGCTACCAAAGACCCATCGAACTCGCAAATCAAATGAACCACTCGATCTCGATCAAATGAATGAGTTGGTACAACTTGATAGGCAATATGAACTAAATGGAACTAAAGTTGGGTCAAATAAAAGAATAGTTGAACCTATTTCCAATCCAAAAAAGTTTAAGTTTATGAGAGAGGGTCACACACTTGAAATTTCTAAAGCCAATATATTTCAATTCTCCAAAGTGAGGCTAACACCAATATTTTCACATGCCTTAACGCTTGCAACCAATTGAAAAAAGGTTTTTAAAAATGTCATTGTTATCATTATGCATTTCTGAAATAACTACAGCTTAAAAAATTTATGCATGTAAAAGATAAATGATCTCATGGAGCTGATGTATGGTATAAGGCTAGGTTGGTAGCAAAAGATTTTGCGCAACAGAAAGAGATTGCTTATGATGGGGTGTTATCCCCAGTGGTTAAGCATCCCTTGACTCGTGTTCATTTGGCACTTGCAATATACTATGGTCTAATTCTTGAACAACTCGAATTCTTACAAGGGGAATTGCAAAGATAGATCCACATATTACATCCATCTGGATATGAAGCCTCAAAAGACTTGGTTTGAAGATTGGACAAGTCTTTAATTGGTGTAGTGAGCAGGTTCACTTACTGTAGGAGTACGGTGAATATTCATGCTCATTGCTGATTGTCCACTAGTTTTGAAGAACCACGCTCGACTCGATCCCTTGGGAATGAGATACGCAGGTTACCATTTGCCATTTGGGTGCAATCAATTTGATATCGAAGCCTAATTTGTCATCTTCTACTTTTTGAAGTGAAATATGAGGTGGAGATTATTGATTTAAAATTATTTTCAAATTTAAATAAAGCTTTATTTTGGAAAGCTTTGATGAGAAATTTATGCAATTGATTAGGGAATTGATTGTTTTCCTAATTAAGTTGATTTGATTGGAGATTGATTGATGCATTAATTAGGAGATTTGATTATTAAAATAAATTTATAGATTTAATTAGCATGATTGGGAGATCTAATTAGCATGATTATATTTTTCCATATTATAGCATTAATTAAAATTTCTTTATAGCTTTGTTTCAAATCTTTAAATAGAGCTTGATGGCTATTGTATTATATGCATGCAGCAGAGAGCTTGAGAGCTTATTGTAATTTCTATTGTTCTCCAATATAGTAAAATCATCATTCTCTCCTCATGGATATTGACATCTTTACCGAACCATATGAATCGACATGTTCTTTTTGATTGATTGTGTTTTGTGATTTGTTTTGTTTTTCTTGTATGCACTGCACAAAAATATTTTTATCATGATTTAAGAGTTTTGCGTCCTGGAATGTTCGCGGCGGTAGAGAAATATAAAGTTTAACGTCTTAGCGTTGTACGAAGATCCATCACACAATTAGATAAGGGAGATAAAATGTAGCATTCATAAGAGACACCAAGATTTTTACGTAAAAAATCCTAAAAAGGGGAAAAATCACAGGGCCTAACCCAGTTTGAATGAATTCACTAGTATTTGCAGTTGATTACAAATGAGACCCTTCATTGGGGGGGAGCCCTTGGCTTGGTGTAACAAATATACATCATATAAAGTGTGGTACATTTATAAATAGAAAGAATCATTGTTGGCGTATTCGTTTGGTCAGAAGGACCGTAGTCTGCGGGCGATGGATGTCGGAAGGACCTTAGCCAGCGGGAAACGGAGGTCGGAAGGACCGTTACCTAGCGACAAAAGTCAGAAGAATCGTAGTCGATAGGTGACAGGGGTCGGAAGGACCCTTGTCTAGTAACAGAGGTCAGAAGGACTGTTGACTGGAGGAAGTCTGGTGTCGGGTGGAAGTCTGGTGTCGGGTGGAAATCTGGCAATGGGAGGAAGTCTGACATTGGCTAGAAGTCCGACAAAGGACAGAAGTCAAGCGATGGGTGGAAATCTAATGAAAGTCCGTCGACGGGTAGAAGTCTGGCGAAGGGCAGAAGTTCAACGTCGAGTAGATGTTCGACGAAAGACAGACAGCTGGCAGAAGTCCGGCATCGAGTAGAAATCCAGAATCGATAAGGATTGCGGCTACGGGTAGAAGTCCGGTGTTGGAAATAAATTCGACAATGGGTTAAAGTTATGCATGGGGTAGAAGTCCGACGAAAGTCCAGCGAAGGCCAAAAGTCTGACGACGGGCGGAAGTTCGATGTCGGGTAGAAGTCCGACGAACGTTCGGCGACAAGGAGAAGTCCGGCGACGGGCAGATGTCTGATGTCGGGTAGAAATCCGGTGACAGGCGGAAGTCTGGCATCGGGTAGAATTCCGGCAATGGACAGAAGTCTAACGATGGGCGGAAGTCCGTAGTCGAGTAGAAATCCAGCGACAGGCGAAAGTTCGACGTCGTGTAGAATTCCGACAACGAACAGAAGTCTAGCGACGGGCGAAAGTCTGGCGTTTGGTAGAAATCCGGCGAGGGGTGGAAGTCCTGTGTTGGGTAAAATTCCTGCAATGTACAGAAGTACGGTGACGGGTGGAAGTCTAGCGTCGGGTAGAAGTCTAATGGCGAGCAGAAGTTCGGTGTCACTCGATGGCCGGGAGGTGGTCCAGGAGGAGTTTGGTGGCAAGAACTCTTCCTCATCTTCCTTCTCTTCTTTCTTGGGCTCCCGTCCTTCTCCCCCCTCAATAAAGAATGCGGGGTCTATTTATAATTTTCTTAGAGTGACATGGCCAGTAAATAAGAGGAAGATCAAGGATAAATTGAGAGTGGTTTGAATGGACGGCTGATCTTGATGATATCAGAATTTGAATGTCGTGATGATATCAGAATTTGATGATCTTGGGCTCGTTGGAGTTGTTTTGTTGAGCCGCTCGATTCGACTATAAGCATGTCACATTTGGAAACCATTTGGTAACCCAAATAATGGTTTGAACCTTCCAAATACGCTTTGGGTCTTTGATTTGAACTCATTTGAGCTCAGATTGAGTCGAATTTGGTGTCGTTGGGTTCGTATTTCCGAGATGTTTAGTTCGGCTGTAAGTTTGCTGAAATTGGAGTTCATATGGTTTCTGATTTAATTTTTTTAATTTCCTACTTAATTTTCCCTCGAAATTCGTGCCCGATCAACATAATTTTTTGATGATATATCAAATAGTATTTACCATCACTAGATTCCTCACCCACAATCATTTTCTCTATTTTCTTTGATAAATTCTCTTCTTCCACAAGATTCGCTATCTTAGAACTTAGAGCTCTTGTAAATTTTTTTATCAACATATTTCCTCAATGTGTGTTCTTGTTTCTCCAACTCTTGATGCTCTTTCTTTGTCATCCTATGTCAAATTTTTATCTTAATAAACAAAGTCATCTTTTGAGACTAAAACACTTACACTTGATTATCTAATTAAAATAACAAGCTTGCCTTGCTACCTAGCACTTTAAGGGAAAACATTTGCCTAGGTAGAGTCTCTCTCTCACTCTTTTTCTTTGTTGTCATTGAGCAAATGTTATTGTAATTGTTAGAAAATCTTTATGTAATATTATTTCATATTATATAAATCATGTATTCATTCAAGTAAGCAAAAACAAACATCCTACACAATCCAAAAAGGCAAAAAAAAAAATTGAGATTTTGCTTAGGAGTTGGGAGGTAGGTGTTCTTAAATGAGTAATAACAAAAATATACAAATTATGTTAAACAAGCTAAATTTATGCCTCACAAAGAGAGGTGGACCCTACCATGCTAGATGGTGGGGTCTACCCACAATGTTTTTAATAATGTCAAACATGTTTAGAATTATTCTGAAATGAAATTGTTGCCTAATTTAAAATTCGAAGTAAATCAAGATCAATAGATGCATGACACAAGGCACACACATATCCCTTGTCATCCATCAAATATCTTTGATACTTTATGAGATCTATAAAGCAATAGCAATGAAAAAATGATACAGGCAAATCAATTCTCACTAATTAGAAAAATTATTACGTGCGGTGTTCGGACGCATCCGGAGGTCAATCCGGATCCGGAGGTCAATTCGGACATGTCACATCACCCAATACACAGTGCATTGGGTGATGTGATGCATCTGATTTAACCTCCGCATGCACGCATCCGGACTCCGCATGTAATAATCTTTCCACTAATTACTAACAATTGCGCTTCGAAACTCACCCGTCCCAAGAAAACATGATAAGAGGCGTGATCTTAAGATTTGTCTCTCATCGCCATTGGCTCGAACTCGAGCACACCAACACTCACTAAGAGCTAAAAATTACACTCCTACGCTATCAATCCACCAAACAATCAAAAAAGAAAAAAAAATAATGAGTAATGCTTCATTTGGGATCATGGCGGATCCTCAATATATTGAGGGGGGGCATGGGCATTTGCCCCCCTCAAAAAAAAAAAAATTTTAGAGGGTATATTTTGAGTATTTTGCCTCATCTTAAAAAAAAAATTTTGCCCCTAATTTTATCAATCCTAAGAGTCTTTGCCCATCCCCTACCAAAAAAAATTTTTTTGCCCACCCTGAAAAAAGAAGCTGGATCCCCGGTTTGGGATGGTTTTTTTATTATGTTTTTTTAAATTGAGTTTTAGTTAAAAATTAAAGCATTCCCAAACTAAGCCTAAAGGTCTAATCACACACTCTCCCTATCTTTGTCTCTATATTTCTTTTGTCTACACATCAACGGATATTTATGTGTTAATAACTACACAGAATACTTACTGTGGAAAGGGGGGATCGAGAGGGGACGCACTAACCTGAGTGGCGAGGATGACGGCGTCGTGGTGGAGGAAGAGCGTCATGCAACTAGTAAGATTAAAAGGTCCGGTGAGCCACCTACCAGGTGGAACGTAGAGAAGACCGCCACCATCGCCGGAGAACTGAGCTAGATGCTCAACCGCCGCCTGGAATGCCTTGCTGTTCAACGTTATACCGTCGCCAACTCCACCGAAGTCCGTCAACGACGCCGTGTGCGCTCGGCAGCTTGTCGCCTCGTACGTCTCCCCCACCGTCTGTCCCCCGCCATCCTGGCCGCCTGCGGTGACTCGACCACCGCCACCGGTTTGAAACCGGCATTCCGCTGTTCGGGAGAATGCCGCCATTAATAGAAGACATATCGGCATGACCTGTCACATCACAGAAAAAATCATATTTTTAATGTTCTTTTTTCTAGTAACTTGAAAATAAAGATGGATTTCAGGGGAAACCCTGTTTTTTGGAGAAAGACAGAACGTGGATTGAAAAAGATGGCATTTTGGCAGGAAAATCCGAGATATTTCAGATGTCCCCGCTGATCAGATTGAAAATAGAAACAACAAGAGTGGAGAGGAAGAACTTGTCTTCAAGAAAAAAAAAAACATTTTTTTGTTGGTGAAACAGAGAAGACGCCCATTAAAAAAAAAAAAAAAGTTTTCTTTCACGCAAAGCAAAATGTGAAGATGGGAACTACATCAATAAGAAAACTGGTTTTCCTCTACGTTTCTCTGAAGATTAGAGCAAAAAATAATTAGAAAAATTGATGCATATGTACCCCAACAACTAAAGAAAAAACCTGCAAAATAGTTAGAAGACAGAAGATTTTGGTTTTGACGTAAAATGAAGGGGATAATAAGCATTACAGAGAAAGAGAAGAAGCTCCTACTCAACAGCTCCATCGCTAATGAAGAGAGAGAAGCAGTGGAGAAGAAGGGAGTGCAGGCAGGCGGGATGAAGAGATTGTGGGCTAGCGGTTCCCTTTATAGCTGTGGCTCCTTAGTTGGCTTAAAAAAAGTTAATTTTAATGATATTTATTATGATAAATAGATTAAATTGAAATTTAAAATTTTAAAATATTTCTTTTAATTATTACTAATTGAACAAATTTGAACCCACAAAATCTAATTATAATATACTATAAATAGAGAAATATTATGCTCCTATATAAAATTTACACACAATTATATCAAATTAATCAATTAAAACTCTTTTAATCCTATCAAATTTAATTAACCTTTTTTTTAATATATCAATATTGATATTGATATTTATTCATGCAATTTCATTGTTATCCCATCTAAATTTGGATTCTATATTAATTTGTGCAAAAATATTAAGTAGAAGTTATTCAAATAATAATAATAACAATAATAATATTAAGAGAAAGTAATCTCAAACATTAGTCTTTGATGATGAGAATGTCTAATATTTTGATTTTGAGCTCGTCCTCACAGTTTCCAATCTCTAAAAGTTGTGTTATTATGCTATAATCCTCCTCATCTATAATGTTCATAAAATCCGTAAAATATTTGATATATATTACATGATGTATCTGCATGCGGTATAGAACACCGATCTCTTTAATAACAAGATATCACACATACTTATATATTTTCTATCAATCACCTATCCAGCCTGAATATTATTGTATAGATATCTTACTATTGAAAAATACGTACATTATTGAAAGGGCTATAAAAAAGGTTCATCATTCTATGAACAGACTATATTTGGTTCGATAAAAAACTTACTATCGATTAGTTTGCTAAATAAACTAGCCGAATCGAATTTTAAACGAGCCAACCACAATGCAGTATTGTTTAAACTAACTCGAGCTGAGTTCGAGGCAAACATGAGCCCAATGAACAAACGAATTCAAAACAATCGAACGTGAACATACTATTCACAAATAATTTCAAACACAGTTGAATTTGAAAGAACGAACTTTTGAACAAATCAAACACGAATAAACGCTAAGCTTGCTCATACTCAGCTCACTTACAACCCTAATTATTAACATGTTCTGAATGGTACATAATTGAATGAGAAAACTCTCTACTGCTTTTCAGATAAATTAAAAATGCCACTAACTACCTCCTTCAAAATAAATATTATTTTAATTTACAAAGATTCTTTTGTAATTTGCATCATTTAATCCTAAAATGGGCAAATTTGCAACTCTAGAAAATTGGGGTCTAAATATAAAATAGGAAATTTAGAAGCTTGTAAATGTAAAATTGTGTCGGCATCTCGCGCATCGTGCTTGCCTTTACGAGGTTGCACGTGAATTAAGTGGGGCCCATTAACGAACCCGTGAGGCCGTGAAGAGGAAAAATGCGGTGGGATATGTTGTCATTATATATTACTATTTTTTATATTTAATGAATAAATCAAATATTTATTTAGTTGTTTTTTATCTATAATTCATATAAAAATGAAATATAATTATTTTGAAAAACAAAATATTAAATATTTAAATTTGAAAGATATTTATCGAATTTTAAAGTTATTTGCTTTTGTAATTCTTTAATTTTAACATAAAATATTAAAGTAAAAGGAAACATTTAAAATAATGTTGACAATAAAATAAAAATATTTGAATATATTTTTATATAAAATATAAATATTCAAATAAGAGTTACTTGTTGCGTCCTGGAATATTTCGCGGCGGTAGAGAAATATTTAGTTTAACGTCTTAGCATTGTACGAAGATCCAGTACACAAGCAGATAAGTGAGAGGTGTAGCATTCATAAGAGACACCAGAGTTTTTTACGTGGAAAACCCCTGAAAAGGGGGAAAAACACAGGGGCCTGGCCCAGTTTGAATGAATCCACTAGTATTTGTAGTCGATTTACAAATGAGGCCCTTCCTTAGGAGAAGGCCTTGGATTGATGTAGCAAATGTACATCATATAGATTGCATTACATGGTAGGAGTTATATATACAGTTTGTTTGGCCTGAAGACCGTGGTCGGCAGGAGACCGGAGTCGGCGGAGAACCTGGGTCAGAAAGACCGTTGTCTGTTGATGGAGGTCGGAAGGACCATAGTAGGCGACAAAGGCCTGAAGAACTGTAGTCGGCAGGAGACCGTAGTCGGCAGGAGACCGTAGTCGGCCGGAGACCGTGTCGGCGGACCGTAGTCCGGAGACCATAGTCGGCCGGAGACCGTAGTCGGCAGGAGATCGTAGTCGGCCGGAGACCGTTGTCTGGTGATGGAGTCGGACGGACCGTATTAGGCGACAGTGGTCAGAAGGACCGTAGGCGGTAGGAGATAAGGAGTCAGGTGTTAGTCCCAGTGTCACTTGGAAGATCGGATGTTGATGGTCTGGCCTTGAGTAGGACGTCAGGTCTTAAGCAGGACGTCAGGTCTTCAGCAGGACGTCGGGTCTTCAGCAGGACGTCGGGACTTAACTTCGGGCCTTGAACAAGACGTCGGGTCTTTGGCAGGAAGTAGGGACTGAGTGTCAGGCCTTGAACAAGACGTCGGGTCTTTGGCAAGATGTAGGGACTGAGTGTCGGGCCTTGAACAAGACGTCGGGTCTTTGGCAGGACGTCGGGAGATGAACGTCGGGCCTTTAAGGTGGTGGTCCGGCGAGGTTTTGTGGTGGGTTCCGGCGAGGGTTCCTGCTGGTTGCGGTGTACGGCGGTGGTCCGGCGAGGGTGGTCCGGCGGTGGTCCGGCGGCTGTCGAGAAGGAATCCTTCCTTCTTCTTCTCCTCTTCTCTCTCTCTGTTTCCTCTCTTGTGGAGAAATGAGGGCTCTATTTATAGATTTTCTAGAGTGGCATGGCCCGTAAATAGGTGTGAGATCAGGGGCGAATAGGGAGTGGTCAAATGGACGGCCGATATTGAATCCTACGATCGTGCACCAGTTCATTGGACATTTGAAGGCCTTAGAATGTCGGAATTCTGTGATCTTGGGCTTCGTTGGATTTCGTCTCGTCGAGCCCTTCGATTCGAGTATAAGCTCGTCAAAATCGGAGTCCGTTTGGTAACTCAAATTGCGGTTTGAACCTTCCAATAGTGCTTTGGATCCCTGATTTGGACCCATTTGGACTCAGATTGGGTCGATTGGTGTCGTTGGATTCGTATTTCCGAGACGCCAGTTTGACGTAAGCTCGCTGAAATCGGATTTCGAGGTGCTCCCGGATTTAATTTTTGAAGTTTCCAACTTGATTTTTGCCTCGAGATTCGTGCCCGATCAATTAATTTTCGCATGACGTATCAGTGCCCCCTATTTTCGGACGTCGAAGCTCCAGAAAGTCCGAAAATACTTATTCCGAAAATTTTCACATTGCTGAATCGCAAAAAATTGTGTTCCAAAAGTTAAATGCTTGCTCAAACTTGATCGTAGAGGCCTCGTTGAGCTTCCGAAAAGTGTCAAAATCGAGTCCGGAACGTCGAAAAACGTGTCCGGGGATCCAAAAAAGTCCGAATCGGACCGTCCGGCCGAAAATTGGGCCCGGAATACGCGAGGCGGCCGAACGGCGGCCGGCGGCCGGCCGGCCGCTTGCCGCCGGCGGCGCCGGCGAGCGCGTGCCGCGCGCGCGAACAGGCGCGCTGCTTGGCTGACCGCGCGGTTATACTTTTTGATTTTTTTTTTTCTTTTTTTTAATTCGTTGCGGGGCCCACAAAATTTCAAAAAATTCCCCAAAAATTCCGAAAAATTCCGAAAAAAATTCCAGAAAATTCCAAAAAAATTCGCCGAAAAAAATTTTAGGGAAAATTTAAAAAATCTAGAAAACTTCCCACCATTCTCCAAAAAAACCTTATTAAATAGACCTCCAAGGCCTTTAGAAAAATTGTCTCTTTCTCCCTTCTTCTCCTCTTTTCTACTTTTCTTCTTCCCCTTTCTTCTTTTCTTCTTCTTTTTTCTTTTCTTCTTCTGCTCTCCCTCTGTCCTTTCTATTGAGGCCTTCCCTCGATTTTTCGAGGCCCCTCTCTTGGCAAGGAAGTTCGGAGATTTCCCCTCCTTCTCTTCTCCCTCTGTCCTTTCTATTGAGGCCTTCCCTCGATTTTCGAGGCCCCTCTCTTGGCAAGGATGTTTGGAGGATTTCCCCTCTTTTCTCTTCTCCCTCTGTCCTTTCTATTGAGGCCTTCCCTCGATTTTTCGAGGCCACCTCTCTTGGCAATGAAGTTCAGAGATTTCCCCTCCTTCTCTTCTCCCTCTTGTCCTTTCTATTGAGGCCTTCCCTCGATTTTTCGAGGCCCCTCTCTTGGCAAGGAAGTCCGGAGATTTCCCCCTTCTCCCTCTATTCTTCGAGAGATATTGCGGAGTTCTGATGTTAGTTGGTTGGAGATGGAGGTCAGAGAGACCGTTGTAAGGAGAGGTACAACGAACAGAAGTCCAACAAAGGTTGGAGAAGTACGACGACGAGTAGACATTCAACGACATGTAAAAGCCCGATGAATGTCCGTCGATATGCAAGAGTTCGATGTCGAAGATAGAAGACCGATGATAGTCCCGTAATGAGTTATAAGTCCGCGTCCGGGGAGAAGTTATGATGACAGGTAGGAATTAACGTCGCGTAACACAACAAAATCGAGACCAACAAACTCCCAAAAAAAACCACCACAACCAACACAAAACCAAACCCAAAACAACCCACACCAAACCAAAAAAAGCCACACCCAAAAACCAAAAAAAAAACAACCAACAACAAAAAAAAACACACACCACAAAACACAAACAAAAAACCAAAAACAAAAAAAACAACAACCACACCCATCAACACCGAACACAACCACCCCCAAAAAACCGCACCACAACCCCACACCCCACACCCCCAACCCACCTCCCAAAACCCCCACCCAAAACCCCCACAACCGCCCCACACAACCAACACCCCACCACCAAAAACCCCCACAAAAACACAACACACCCAAACCCAACCAAACCCACCACCAAACACCCCACCCCCCCCCACCCCCACCACCCCACCCACCCCACCCCCCCCCACCCAACCCCCCAACCCACCAACCATACCACCAAAGGAGGGCGCGGCGGGACGAAGGGCGCAGGAGGGGAGGGCGCAAAAGGAGACGGCGAAAGACGCACCCAAACAACAAACACCCCACAAAATTTCACCAAACAACCAGCAAATAAAACCACCCACAAACACAAAACACCAAAAACCCAAAAAAACCCACACAGAACCCCAAAGGACAACCCCCCACAACCCACCAAACCAAAAAGAGTAGGGAAGACCCCGCGCGAAAGTACTATTAAACATATGCCTCGCTAATACAAAGCTCCACCGACATTACCACAACGAACCGACCCAAACGAGAAGTACGACAATGCATACGCAGAGTCAGAGAAATGCCAAGCGATACTCCGCCGCGTAAAGAGGGAAAGACGACCAAAGGTTCGTCGACGGCAGAAGTCTGATGAACCCGAAGATCAGAAGAATCTCTGCCACGAGCAGAAGTCGCCACACAAGAGATGTTAAAATCCGACATCGACATCTTCGTAAACGAAGCTACGAAGCGGCCTACATCATCTGGCAACGAACACACAAACGGACCGAATTTGAAAGCCAATTTAGCATCAGAACCCGACATCGGATCCAAAAAAGCTGCCTGCCCAAACACACACGAACGCAGAAGTACTTAACAGAACACGGGGAGAAGTGAATCCCATCAAACCAACCCGCCCTTGCCCACGAAGCAGCAGCTACCGACGATCACCGGAGCCACTCCCCTCAGGAAAATACAAGTAAAAAGGATCCCCCCCAAACAACCAAAAAAAAAAAAAAAAACTGACGAAGCAGAAGTCCGACGTCGCAGGAGTAACTGGGCTCACGAGCAGAAAGTTCTACGACGGGAAGGGAAGAGTCAACACTAGATACGAGCAGAAGTCCACACAGCCCACGACTCACCGCAGACCGCTCGCTCGACGCACGCAGCCCAGTTCCCGACGCACCATCCAAGAACCGGCAGAAGTCTGGTCCTGCACGAAACCCAAGAACAGAAGTTCGACGTCGAAGAAAAGTTAGAAGTATGGCCCCTGGCAAAGAAACCGACCACATGAAAAGTTCGTTCGAACAAGCAGAAGAAAGAGTCTTGACGACGAGCAAGAAAGTCACGGCAATGAAAAAGACCATGAGCAAAGCCCCTTTGACCGACAGGTGAAATCCCGCACCCGTCCGTGTAGAAGTACGGCCTCTGGTAAGAGGACCGACATTGAAAGCCCTTCCAAACATCGACACCGGCCAGAAGTCCGCACGAAAACGACCCCAGTAGAAGTACACCCCGACTGCCCACCGAGCAGAAAGTTCAGACGACAAGGTGAAATATCCAACGTCGTGTGTAGAAGTACCCGGGCCTCGGCAGAAACGCACAAACACAAAAAGAAAAACCAAGAATAGTTAACAACACTTAGCACAAGAGCAGAAAAAGCATCCGAAAACGACTAGTAGAAAGCCTCCCCAGACACGGGAGAGAAGTCCAAGTCGTGTAGAAGTACAGCGTCGGGCAGAAGTCCACATAGAAAGTTATAAGTCGACAAACCAAACAAAACACGGAGCCAGAAAGTCCAGCTGAACGTCGAGTTAGAAGCGCTGACAAGCAGAAGTGTGACAAGGTGTAAGTCCCCCGCACGTCGTGTTGTAGACTCCTCCTGACTAGCAGAAGCCTCCGTACGTCAAGAAGATAACGAAGTCCATCCGTGCAACGAGCAGAAGTCCGACGTCAAAGGAGAATCCATTGAGAGAAAAAGTCAACGTCGGGTATTAGTCCGACAATAGGAAGAATCAACACAACCGCGGTTGCCGGGGTATTAGTCCGTCGAAAAGTCCTGCAAGGCAAAAATTCTAGCGATTAGGAGAAAATTCAAAATCGG